CAAGAAAACCCCAAGAACAAGTAATAACAACAATAATCAATATCTATACAATGATACATATTATATATCAACACCTTCTCCTAACATTCAGAGTTTGGAAATATTACATTTTATTTTTAATTACAACTTCCAGAATCTCCCAGCTTCATTCTATGCTGCTGTGATGCCTTCTCAAAGCCAGAACATCTGGACTCCCTGAAATGTTAGTGGAACAATGACAACAACAACAACAAGTGGAGCTGAGCACTTGAGTGCTCCAGAAAGATGCTGAGGTTGATTCATGTCATTTTGCAGCCTGAGGTACAGCAGCAGATGGTAATCCTCAAGATGCACAGTATCCAAGGCCATGTTGTTCGGCATCTGGGCCAGAACATCCACAACACCTCTCTGTTGTCATTGTTGCTGTGTGCCTTCAAGTCGTTTTCAACTTATGGCACCCCTAATGTGAACCTATCATGGGGTTTTCTTGGCAAGATTTGTTCAGAGGGGGTTTGCCATTGCCTTACCCTGAGGCTGAGAGAGTGTGACTTGCCCAAGGGTTTTGTGGCCAGGTGGAGATACAAACCCTAGTCTCTAGAATCCTAGCCCAACTCTCAAACCGCTATACCACACCTGCCAATCAGAAATTACTTGAAGGCATACAACAACAACAAACAACAGGAACTGTAATCTGAAAAGTGATTTTACCAAGCTCTGAGGAAGACCCCTGAGAGAGAGAACTGAGGTAAAAGTAGAATAGTGGTTTGAGTGTTGGACTACCATTCTGGAGGCCAGGGTTGGACTCCCAGCTCAGCCATGAAAACCCACTGAGTGACCTTGGGCAAGTCACACTCTCTCAGCCTCAGGATAAGGCAATGGTAAATCACATTAGGGTCGCCATAATTTGGCAATGACTTGAAGGCACACAACAACAATAACTTTGGGATGTGAGAGCCAGGAGGCTTGGGTCCCTGGGTGGAAAAATGTGTGAATAAGTGTGTGAGAAAGAGTGGGGCGGAAGCAGGGAGAGACTACTAAGAGGCCTACTGGGAGCCAGGCCTTTTGGGTTCCTCTGTAAAGGAGTAAAACCCAGGCGCCTGATGGAGTGGAAGAGGGGCTGCCAGGAGGGCCGCTTTGTTGTTGTTTGTTGTTGTGTGCTTTCAAGTCATTTCCCACTTATTGTGACCCTATCATGGGGTTTCTCTTGGCAAGTTTCCTCAGAGGGGGTTTGCCCTTCCTTTGAGGCTGAGAGAGTGTGACTTGCCCAAGGTCACCCAGTGGGTTGATATAGGCGAGCTGGGGATTCAAACCCTGGTCTCCTAGAGTTGTAGTCCAACGCTCAAACCACAACACCACCCTAGCCCTAAGGATGGTTCCTGGGTCCTCCTAAACCTGAGAAGGGTCACCCCTCCTGAGTGGGGCCAGAGCAATACTAGGGTTTGAATCCTGGCTTTGCTATGTAAACTCATTGGCTGACCTTGAGGACATCACACTCTCTCAGCTTCAGAGGATGGCAATGGCAAACCCCCTCTGCCTTAGAGTCGCGATAAGTTGGAGACAGACTTGAAGCCACACAACAACAACAACAACAACAACAACAACAACAACAACAACAACCATATGGAACAAAATTATATGAGTGTGTTTAGCCTTTGTTTTCTAACATCCTCCAGTTATCTTGAACAGAAGAACATTGTGTAATGTCATCTGGTTTTCTTGGAGGACATTTTGAGGTGCTTTGTCCTCCTTTTGTTGTTGTAGACTGCCTTCATGTCGATCTCGACCCATGGTGACCCTATGGATGAGACCTCTCCAGGACCCCCTGTCCTCTATTGCTCTGCCTAGCTCCTGCAAACTCATATTCAT